CTCCTCCTCCTCCTCCTCCTCCTCCTCCTCGGGAGATGGTGGGCTCTCCTTCTTTGGAGGTTTCCAAACAGAGGCTAGATGCCCATCTGATAGCAGTGCTGATTCTGTGAACTGAGGCAGATCACGAGAAGGGAGGGCAGGACGTCTCCTCCTCCTCCTCCTCCTCCTCCTCCTCGGGAGATGGTGGGCTCTCCTTCTTTGGAGGTTTCCAAACAGAGGCTAGATGCCCATCTGATAGCAGTGCTGATTCTGTGAACTGAGGCAGATCACGAGAAGGGAGGGCAGGAAGGGTTGCCTCGGTGCTGAGTTCTCGTGGCCCATTCTTTAGATGCACAGGGAAATGCCAATCGCCAGTTTGGGGTCGGGAAGCAATTTTTCTCCAGGCTAGTTTGGTCGGGGATCCTGGAGGTTTTTTGGTCATCTTCTGGGCGTGGAACAGCGGTCACTGTGGGTGTGGAGGGGGAGTTATTTGTGAATGTCCTGCATTGTGCAGGGGGTTGGACTAGATGACTCTGGAGGTCCCTTCCAACTCTATGATTCTGTGATTCTAAAGACTAACAAAATTTGTGGAGGGGTACAGTGCTCCCTCTAAGCCGTGGAGTCTTGTGAGCAAAAATTCTACTTTGTGAGCTGCTGGCATGAAAGTTGTGAGCGATCTATTTGGCTGCTGGATACATTAGTTTGCTCTGGAGCCATCCTTCCTGAGCTAAGACAAAAACGTGTGAGCCGGAGGCTAAAAAACTGTGAGCTGGCTCACACTGACTCAGCTTAGAGGGAACACTGGAGGGGTATGAGCTTTTGTGAGTCACACAGCTCACTTCTTCAGATAGCTCATCCCCTGCCGCAAATGTTGTTAGTCTTTAAGACGCTACTGGACGCTTGCCCTTTCCTACTGCTACAGACAGACTAAGATGGCTATTGGGCTGCTGTCACACACACTAAATCATCAACTTTCAGTCCACTTTCACTGCACTTTCCAACTGGATTTTACGGTATGAACTGGCAAAATCCAGTTGGAAAGTGGACTATTTAGTGCAGGGGTGTCAAACATGCAGCTCCTGGGCCGGATGAGGCACCCGGAGGGCTTTCTATCAGGCCCGCAGTAGAAATGGCTGTCTTCTGCTTCTTCTTCCAATTCTGCTGCTGCTGTGTTATCATGAGTTTGCAGCTTACAGATACACACCTGAATGGCATACTCAGGATTGCAACAGCACAGACATTTTGATGCAGTAATTCAGAGCAAGAGGTGTCAGTTATCGGACACTGTTAAATAAGCAAAATATTGCAAGAGTGCTAATGTTTTAAGCATGTTTTTATTTTAAGTAAAAAAAACAAAAACCCTTTGTGTTTGTGTCCTTTATAAAGTTTCTATCTCCACTACCTGGCATTCCATTTTATGACACACATGGCCCGGCCCGGCCCAGCAAGGCCTCATTTATGTCAGATCTGGCTGGCCCCCGGGCCGCATGTTTGACACCCCTGCTGTAGAGTTTCTCCATCCCTGCTGGCCCAGTATTGCAGAAATGGAAGAGACTGTGGCCATTTCCGCACTGTCACTTTTGTCACTCATTTGTCCCTATTGCTTTGTGTCCTGTCCCCCTTCCTTTCCCACATATGTGTTTTGCTCCCTCTGGGACTACTAGAGAGAGCAAAACACATTGGGGGGGGAGTGCGGAAGTGGCAACTGTGACAAACGACACTAATAAATATTATCATACAATTGTCTGTGTGTTATCAGTTCTAAGGGACTGTGGTGGCTCAAGTGGTTAAGACGCTGAACTGCAGACTGGAAGGTCGGTAGTTCGACAGTTCGAGACCCGAGTGCCGCGTGACGGAGTGAGCTCCCGTATCTGGTCCCAGCTCCTGCCAACCTAGCAGTTCGAAAGCAAGAAATTGCAAGTAGATCAGTAGTCATGCGAGCCACATGACGGTCTTCGGGCAGCACTGGCTCTTCGGCTTGGAAACGGAGATGAGCACCGCACCCCTAGAGTCGGATTCGACTGGCTTTCGAGCAAGGGAAACCTTATTGTCAGTTCTACGTAAGAATTATCACAAGTGCATAAGTACAAAAGCGATATCAACTTTAATAGGAAGGAGATTGCACTTCTTTGAAAAATTAATTGGTCGCTGACTCTGAAAACTGTTTTTCCCCCTGCGACTTGAACCTTGATTTGAAATTGCCTTTTGAGAATCGAAATACCGACGTAACATTCATTTTCGAAGACAACCGCTGTCCATCTCTGAAGAAGACTATTGAAATGGAAGACTTAGCTGGACTTACGCATTTAATATTGAAATTCTAGTATTTGGACTTTTGTACTTAGGCACTTGTGATAATGCTTATTTAGAATTGATAATACAGGGACAACTGTATAATAATCTTTATCAGCGCCGTTTGTCACAGTCCTGGTATTTTCATTTTTTGACTCTGTATCTTCTCTTATTCCGGCCTGATACTGCAGAAATTTCTGAGTGCCACAAAAGGACTATTTTGTTGTCTGTCCTTCAGAGCTACAAGAATGTGGAACTTTCCCTTATTCATTGGGCCCCTGTGCTGATTGCCCATATAGCTGTCTTCAGCTGTGGGAAGGGGCTGTGGCTCAGTGGGAGAGCACCTGCTTGGCATGCAGAAGGTCCCGGGTTCAATCCCCGGCATCTCCA